TGTGTGTTTTTTTAAAAAGCTAAAGTGGATAGAGAGAAATACTTTTAACTGATGGTATATGGAGGGGATTATAATTATTGTAATGAAACAAATTATATGAATTGTTGAATGTGAAACTGATGATGTGCCCTATAAACTTTCACTCAATCCACAATAAAAACCTTTAAAAAAAAAAAAAAAGAGAATGGACACAGAGGCTCACATAGAGAGAAGAAAAATGACATGGGAGGAGGATCAATCTACAAGCAAAGGAATGTCAAGGATCACCTGCAGACCCCAGAATCTAGGAGGCTCATGAAGGAATCAAAGTCAAAACCCTGAATTGGACTTTTAGCTTCCAAAACTGTGAAAAAGTAAATCTGTTCTTTAAAGCCATCCACTTGTGTTATTTCTGATGGCAGTAGTAGGTAACTATGACTGAGTGTTCTAATTTTCCATAATAAAGGTATTGGGGTGAAAATTTGTTGTCTACTGAGTGTCAAAAGTTGTATCGGTTGGCTTTGTATAATAGTTCCCATCTCCAGGGAAGTTGAATACAGAGAGAGACAGGTAACCCAAGTTCTCTGGTTTACTTACCCTGAAGCAGGTACTCCATCATGTTAATGGTGCCCCCAGTGACAGGCATCATGGTGACTGGAGGTGCCTCCATGGTATCTGTCTGAAGTAGACTCAGTCAGGTAGGGTACAGGATACACCTAGAGAAAAGTTAGACTTGTTTAAACATTAGAGAGGTGGAAATTGGCTTGTGTCATGGCCTGGACATCAATAGATTCATTTATTCACCCAAAACTTTTCAGTTAACCGTTATATGGCCAGGCACTGCTCCATACTGATGATACAGTCAAATATAAAAGATGATCTGGTCATAATGTCTGGTCATGGACTTATAGCAGAATGTTCTAGTGTCATGTTCATTTCCAAAAAATCAGTTGTGCCATTCAAAGGAAGTCATGGAACTTCTCACCCTGGTACTCAATGTCTTCCTTATTAAACGGGACCATCAATATCTAACTCCCAAGCTTCTGAGGCTCAAATGGCATAATGAATATGCAATAATATTCTGAAAAGAACTGAAAAGTGACTTAAGGAACCTTTTCTGAAAGAGGGGAGCTTCAAAAATTTGTTATAGTTAGGTACCGCTGAGTCAGTTCTGACTCATAGCAACCTTATATACAACAGAACTAAACACTGCCCAGTCCTCACAATTGTTAAGTTTGAGCCCATTGCTGCTGCCACTGTACTAATGAATCTAGTTGCAGATCTTCCCTTTTTCAGCGAAAAAGCTGATCCTCCACTTTACTAAACATGATATCCTTCTTTAGGGACTGGTCTCTCCTGATAACATATCCCAAGTATGAGAGACGAAATCTTGCCATCCTAGCTTCTAAGGAACATTCTGGTTGTACTTCTTCCAACACAGATTTGTCCAAACCCACGAGCCGTTACTCGAAAGCCCTATACAGGCTTGCTGAGTGGGAACCGACTCCACGGCACTTAACAACAACGAATCTACTTCCAGGACACATGCACACTTACACTAAAAATGTACCTCCGCGTACCACACAGCTTTTAAAATTTAGCGCCAATTAGACCCCAGTCCTCAGGTTACCTAAATTCGGCAATTCCACTGGCGAGATCAGCACCACTATCCCTTGCTCTTTCTACTTCCGTCAGAACAGCAGACGTCGCGCAAACCTTGAAACCCCGCCCCACAACGTACGGGTGCCGAGAAGTCACTAATTTTTCCCGGCCAGGCAGCAGAAGAGCATGCGCGGATGCAGTGTTGTTATTTGGACGTTAGCGGCCTCCTTTGGAGTGTTCCCCTGGGGGCTATCAAGGACCTTGACGTCATAGTTCGTCCTTTAGGAAAATATTTATCTTTTTGAAGTTCGATGACCTAGAGATGTTTTCGTATAGGAAATCTCTTGGAACTGATAGGAGTGAAGAAAGCTGATTACTAAATTTTAGATTCATACCAATTTTTCCTAGGGGGAAAAGAGAAGAATGGGAGAGAAAAGTTGTAAAACAAAGACGTGTGGGTACTTGAAGGTGAAAAGGAAGACGCCCTATACTGCTTAGCATAACGTTCAGCGAAATTAAGGGGCTAATAATACACTCAATATTAGTTCACTTTACTACGCAAGTTGTGTTGAGTGCAGTGGAGTCGGATTCCAATTCATAGCGACCCTGTATAAGGTTTCCAGAGCTATTTAAAGATTCGCGGTAACAAACAGACTCGTCTTTCTTCCGTGGAGCGGCTGGTGAACTTGAACTTTGTGGTTAGCAGTTCAGTGCTTATCGTATGGAGCCTCCGTGCATTACTGCGCATGTTGTTCTTATGTGTGGTTGAATCGGTTTTCCCGACCCAGGTTGTTGTTAAGCGCCATCAAGTCGGTTCTGCCTGTAATGACCCTGTATAGGGTTTCTGAGGAGCACCTGGTGAGCTTGAACCGACGACCTTGAGGCTCAAACCTACTCTGCAGTCCAGAACATTAACCCACAGCGCCACAAGACTACACTGAGCATACTATATCTCAATTAATAAATATAGGGAAATCAGTAAAAATTTTAAATATTTCTTCTTGTTGTTGTTAGGTGCCATTGAGTCGGTGCTGACTCATAGCGACCTTATTTTTATGCACAACAGAACGAAACACCGCCCGAGCCTGGGCCAACCTCACTATTACATTGAGCCCACTGATGTTGCCAATTGGCCAATCCATCTCATTGGGGGTGTTCCTCTTTTTCTCTGACCCTACACCTTACCAAGGAGCTCTGGTAGCGTAGTGGTTACGAATCGGGCTGTGAACCATAAGGTCAGCGGTTCGAAACTACCAGCAGCTCCGCGGGAGAAAGATGAGGCTTTCTACTCCTGTAAAGATTTACACCCTCGGAAACCCTGTACAGGGTCGCTATGGGTCAGAACCGACTCCACGGCACTTAACAACAACACACCTTACCAAACACGAGATCCTTCTCCAGGGACTGGTCCCTCCTGACGATATGTCTGAAGTATGAGAGACGAAGTTTGGCCATCCTGGCCTCCAAGGAGCACTCTGGCTGCACTTCTTCCAACACAGATCTAATGGTTCTATGGGCAGCCCATGGCACTTTCAATATTCTCCTCCAACACCATAACTCAAAAGTATCAGTTCTTCTACGGTCTTCCTTATTCACTGTCCCAACTTTCACATCCATATGAAGTTATTGAAAATAGCATGGCTTGGGTCAGGCGCAGTTTAGTCCTCAAGCTGACATCTTTGCTTTTCAACACTTTAAAAAGGTTTTGTGCAGCAGATGACCCTGCTTATATGTGAAAAACATAAGGTGCGGGCAGAGTTGAAACTAGGATGAGGCAAATGAGGCGCTCATGGCGTAAAATTTAAGGGGATGCCAAAAATCACAGATACATAAATTTTAGTGCAATATTTTACAAAATCAGTGCAGAAAACGTCATAATTTAGCATTTGATCCTGAAAGCAATCCTATGAACCAAGTACTAATATTACTACTGTTGTACAGCTGGGGAAACTTAGGCAAGTAGATGTTATATAACTTACAAGGGGGTTGGACAGACTGAGATACAAACCTAAGTCTTTAGAGTTCACTCTTAATTACTACAGTAGTCTTTAGAGTCTTCAGAACCCACCTTTTACATTTCTACATTATACTGCCACTTCTAGCTCTACTTCTATTCATTTTTTATATTGGACATTTCTTGAAAATACAACTGTGTTAAAATATCCTGTTATCGGTTGTCCTCAAAAGAGTTCATAGGCAAGTTGTAGAAATCAAAGTTAAACTAAGCAGGGAGTACTTTGTGGTCCCATTCACTAGGGTGTTGTTGTTGTTAGGTGCCATCGAGTCAGTATGGCACAACAGAACGAAACACTGTCCGATCCTGGGCCAACCTCACAATTGTTGTCACACTTGAGCCCATTGATGCTGCCACATTGCCAATCCATCTTGCTGGGGGTCTTCCTCTTTATCTCTGACTTTCCAAACATGATATCTTTCTCCAGCACTAGGGTAATGAGGTGTAAACAGCTCAGCTTCTTTGAAAGCAATCAGAAAAACCTCCAGTCAATTTCAACTCATAGCAAGTAGAACTGCTCCATAGAGGCTCCAAAACTGTAATCTCTACAAGAGGATGCGGCCATATTTTTCTCCCATAGTTTGAATGCCAACCTTTTGCTTAGCAGCTGAGCACTTAGCCACCGTGCCACCTATGGCAGCAAGCAGGGCACTTGATTTATCTTGGGAGCATCAGGGAAGGTTCCTGGAAAAGGTCATTAATATCCAAAGTAACTCTAAGGATTTATATGCATTAGCCAGATGACCAAGGGAGAAAAGGGAATTCCAGGCAATGGGAAAAATAATATGTACAAAGAAATGTGAAGTTGTTAAGTGCTGTGAAGTTGTTTCCAACTCATAGTGACCCTGTATAGGGTTTCCAAGGAGTGGCTGGTGAGTTTGAACTGTCAACCTTGCAGTTCAAACCAATCTTGTGGTCCAGTGTTTATTCCATAGCAGCACAGAACTGGCATATAGATAGAATCTGAGATTAGGAAAGAGTAAGAAATGAGTCTGGAGAAGGGGTAAGGCCCAAATCCTGAAGACTTTGCATACCAGACTGAAGAACAGATGTGAACTCTGAAAAGATCATCCTGACTGCAATATGGAGAAGAGCTTGGGAAAGCAGAGCCTGAAGAAAGAATACCAATTAGGAGCTTTGGCGCAACTCCAGCTGACATAACTGCAAAAGAAAAGACAGATTTTTTAAATATAAAGCAGGTAGACCGATAGAATGATACAAACACTAATCCAAAGTAAAGACAGAGAAAGAGGAAGGAGTCATGATGTCTAGATTTCTATTGTGGGTGGCCATGGTAGTTCTTTCTGAGCTAGGGAACAAAGAGGAGTCCTGGTGTGGTGCTGTATGATCAGAACTGGATTACTAACCACAAGGTTGGCGTTCAAACTCATCAGCTGCTACTTGGAAACCCTATCCAGGGTTGCTGTGAGTCAGAACTGACTCCATGGCACTTAACAACAAGGGAACACAGAACAGTGTAGGTAGGCAGGAAAGATGAGTTCATATGTAGGCGTATTGAGTATGAGGTGTCTGTGGAACACCCAGATGGCAATGCCCAGCTAGAGTTCAGGGAAGAGGTACACAATCCAAAGTTATAGTCTCTTAGTAGCTAAAGGGATGAGAAGAATTGGGATCACCCTGGAAGAGTATGTAGAATAGGAATAGAAGATGACCAAGATCTGGGCCTTTTCTCGGTGTCTCACAGTTATTCGATCTGCGTATACTCTATCATTTAGGATGAGCCTCCTCACCAGTCTGATGATTCAAGACAAACTCTTAGTGCCATTCAACGATCAAGAGAGTTGTCAAACTGCAGAATCCCTCTTTTTAAAAAAAAATATATAGACATTAACTTCAGAATGAAAAGTCCAGTGAATTATATGTCCTTTGAGACACCATAGTATTAACCTCAAATTTTAGATGGCATTTCAAAGTTGTTGTTTTCTCATTTTGTTAGAGAAAAAAATTGAAGACAAAGAAAGTAGATAGGAGATACGAAAACATTACAGCAGAATCTAGATAAGACCTGCAAGTTATAGGGTTGAATTTCTCACATAAGGATCTGAGACCTGGAAATCATAATAGGGCTCACCCCTGCCTCTGT